GCCCTGATTGTTACTATTCTGCGGGGTTGCTTTGGACCTAGGAGAAGAATCAAGTCCCCCAAGCAGGGCCGGCTGCCAACCAGTTCAGTCACACAGAGGCTTCCAGTCAACCACCACAGCTGCTCTGTTAGTGAAATGGCCTTTGAACTCTTGAGATAAAAGCATGAGCTCTGAAAGTACCATTAATTTATTAGCAGATATCAAGATCTGGCTCTTGTCTGGGGGTAATTGGGGGAAAACAAAGTGTGCCTTCTGTTAATTATCATTGCACTTTAAAAAGTCATTGTCTATCTTCTTTTGTCTCTCGTGGGAAGGGGGAACTTGTTCTCAAAACGCTTTTGTTTCTGGTTCCCCATCAGCCATAATTACATTCAAGTCCATAATAAAGCATTATAAAACTTAGTTTTGTCTTTTTAATTATGTTTTCCCCCTTTCCATTCCGACAGATGACCTCCTTGCTTCTGAATCATGTGGATAGTGTGAGAGAGCAGGGAAAGGAAGGGAGAAGACTAAATGAGCTTCCCCGGGGCCCCTCCACCAGCCAGGCTGGCATTTCCACTGATTACTGCAAGTTACCATTTAATCCTCACATCCATCTTAGGAAGTGGACACTACGGTTACCTCTGTTTTACAGATGATGAACCTGAGGTTCAAGAGGTGTCCCCTGCCTCGGGTCCTGCAGCCTGAAGTCTGACTCCAGAGATGGGGCCTTTTCCGTAAACCTGGCCCCAGGCCACAGAGAACATCTTCAGGGTCCTGAACATCTCGGGGCCCCACCATGGCCTGCCTCCTCTCTTCTCACGCATCTCCTGCACGCCACAAGCGGGCACTCCAGCCTGCCTGTGTAAACTCCATCCACGGCCCCTCCCTTCCAGCAACAGCCACCCCTGGCCACCTCTGGTCATAGGGGTGTGTCATGGGGGGTGGGGGAGACACCTGAGAGGCCTGCATGGGCCCTAAGGCAGGCTGCAGGTCCGCATATCCCCTGGCCGGCAGACACCAGCAGTGAGATGGGAGACAGCTGGAAGGTGGCCACTGTGGGACCCTCTGAAGCCCTGGGCTGCCCACTCCAGCTGTCAGGGCAGTGCTGCAGGTCACCTTCCAAATGTGCCCCAGCTGTGACTCCTGGGAAGCACATTCCCACTTCCCACATTTCAGCCCCTCCTCTATTCGCAAAGCCCAGAGGCTCCCTGCTCTCTGCTGCCCCGTGGCTTTTCCCCATCTTGGGCTCATGTGTTTAGGTGGGTGCGGTAAGGTGGGTTTTCCCTGGAGGTGGAGGCAAAACTGGGGGACTCAGAGGAGAAGGAAGCCAGCTGATTGGCAGCAGCCTGGCCGCATCCACTGTGCGAGGAGCTGGGGCGAGTGGTCACGTGCTTGGCACCCTGTGATGCTCGAGCCTAGAGTTGGCCCTATGAGCGCATGGACATGGGAGGGAAATGGAGGGAAACTGGGCTCTGAGGAGTGGGCGGCGCTGAGTTCATGTGTCCCCATGGAAACCAGTCCTTGCAGGGCCCAGACCTCAGCTCTGCTGCAAAGGGCCACCCTGCTGCTATTCATTCCTCGTTGAGGCTCCTGTTTACTCCTTGTTGAGGCAGTGTTGCCAGCTGGGCAGCAGGTGGCCTACTGGGCTCGGGACTAACTCCACCACATTTTGAAAAAACGTCTGGAGTATTGGTTGAGAGGCCTGCCCCTACCACAGCTTTGCCAAGCCACCTGGGCATATAGTTAGTACACTATAATGAGGAAGCTGCTGGTGGAAACTTTGATGTCCTGGCCTCCAACCCAAGTAGGTCAGTGCCCCGTTGCTGGGCTTTGCTCAGGGCCAGGAGGACTGTAACTTTCTAAGAGGTGGCCTTGTGCACAAAGAAGTTCAGAAAGCATGTCTGTGCAGAGACGAAAAAAAAGCTGCAGAAAGAGGCTGAGAGCTTAGAGCCTCAGAGCCGTCTTTTTTGGGTCTCGGGCGGCTTTGTCCTGTCCTCAGGCCCACTAAATACCCCCGCGGCCTTAAAATAAAACACCTTTTACCTAGCAAAGCAAACTGGGCCACATACCCTGTCTTCAGCTCTTCAGCGGCACACATGCTTGGCCTCCAAATGCTAGCACCAGCATTTCTTTGCCTGAAGGTCTTTGACCTCCAGATTCTCTTTGGCACCCTGGGGCAGGCCACGGTGCGGGATGTGCCAAGCAATTAGGGGTGAGAGCCCCCCAGCTCCCTTGCTCCTCTGGGATATCTCTGAGGTGTGTGTCCAACACTGGCTCCTGCTCCCAATTGCCCGCAGTGTTCAACGGCTCCATGACACACATACTGGCTGCTTTCCTTGCCCTGTCTCACCTCCCCACTGAGATCACCTCCTCCCAGATAAAACAATTCCCTTGTAGACTTGTCTTAGGACCTGTGTCTGGGAGAGCCCCAAAAGACAGCAGAAAGGCATTTCAAAGTCAGCAGGACAATGTGAACCCCCACTGGGGATTGTCTTTTGTGGAAACAAGAGCCAAGCACCCCGGCACCCTGATTGCCACAGGAAGAAGCTCAGCCCACCCATGATTTCGTGCCAACAGAGCTGCCTACCTCCAGAGTACATGTCGAAATGGTCGTGTTTCAGCACCATTCCCGTGGTTCCTAAGGGATGAGAGAGCAGAGCTATTATTTCCTGTAATGTGTCATTCTGCTTGTCATTTTGTGGAAAATTACTACTCTTTAGCCTAAGGTCTAAAAATAGAATAATAATGGAACAAAATCAGGTCCTGCAGAAAACATGCAGGACTAAGTAGGTGCTCAGTAACTGTGGGGCTGATCCGAAAGGTACAAGAGCATAACCAGTCTGGGTCTATGTAATGCCTTACCACTTTCTAACACATGACTTAGCATTTTGACCTAAATTTTTGCATCTGTACAATGTGGGAACAAAATAAGATGTATTTAAAATAGATAGCATAGAAGATAAAATTTAGCCGCAAAACAGTAATGAAAATAACTACAATTGTCATCATTATTCCCACCTATTTAGGAAAGCTGCAATGTGAGTCCTCCAATTCTTGCAGGGAAAGGGGTTTTTATTGGGTGGAACTGTACTCAGTGTGCTGAGTCCAGTAATCTCAGTTGCGTTTGTGGGTTTTGCAAAGGGTCCAAGTCCTCCAGGGAAGCAGATGTTCTGGAGGAAAACTGCAGTTTGACTCTCTGACACTAGATGGGGGTGTTGCAAAGGGAATAGCAGCTCTACGTTTCACCACAGTTCCTCTCCCTCAGTGCGGTTCCCGCATTCCTGAAGAGGGTGGGGACAGGGGCCTGGGTCACGGTGGCTCTCCTGCTGGGGGAAGGGGAGCTCACTTTGCAGCCCCCTTCCAGATTCTCAGAGTCACTGCTGTCTAAGCCCCTGGGGCACGTCACCTGGGGCCTTTGGAAGGGAGTGTATGAACCTGTGAAACTGGGATTCTGTGCATTTGTGGATTTTTCTGGAATTAGCGCGAGGAAATGTAGTTTGAATGGTTTCTCAAAGTAACCTCTGCCCCCTAAAAGGTTAAGAACCACTTATCTCTAACAATCCTTCTGTTGTTCTGGCTCACTACATAGATGACCCCGGGAGTGGTTCCTTGGAATTCCCCAGAGCTAGCCCATAGTAGGAACTGCATACGCATTTGGATACATTTCTAGTCTAGGGAGGTAGTTCAGCAGAGTGATTAAGACCTGGAGCCAGCCAGATTCAGGTTAAAATCTAGATGATTCTATCGCCTGTGTAACCTTGGGCAAGTCCCCTAACCTCTCTGAGCTTCCATTGCTTACCTGGAACACAGGGATACGGAGCATGGTGCCATTCTAGCATTGTGACGAGGTTAGAGAAAATTGTTAGCACATAGTAAATGCTCAACACATTTAGCCTTTAGTGCTATTAATGGTTGTTTTTATCTTTGGGCTTTGTGAGGGATGGGGAAGGAGGCTCCAGGCTGAGCCTGTCTCATTAGAGACTATTCAGGAGGTCTTCTCCAGCAGTGGCTCATTTGGGGGAAGAAAAACCCCACAGGTTTCAGCAGGTCAGCTGCAGCTGGAGCGTTTCCTGCAGGCCTGAAGAGTGCTCTGAGGCCAGTCTGAGCTGCCTGCAGGCCCTCTTTGTAGGAAGGGGCCACCATCAGAGCGTGTCAGGCCTTCTTCTCCTCACGACTTTGGAGGAGGCCCACCCTGCTTGGCCTTCTACCCCTCCCAGCCCCCAC